AGTTTTTTTCCCCCCCACAATATGTTTTTAAAAAATCCCCCCGAAAAAAAAACTCTTGGAACCCCCCCCCCCATTTTTGGGAAATTTTCCTAAAAATCCAACACCCTTCCCCCCCAAAAAAAAAAAAAAAAAAAATTTTTTTTTTTTTTTTTTCTTTGGGGGAAAAAAACCCCCCCTTTTTTTTGTTTTTTTCCCCCCCCCCCCCCTTTTTTTTTTCCCCCGGTTTTTTGGGGCCGGGGGTTTTTTTTTTTTTTTTTTTTTTTTGGGGGTATTGGGGGGGGGGGGGGGGGGGTTTTTTTGGGGGGTTTTTTGGGGGGGGGGGGGGGGGGGGGGGGGGGGGGGGGGGGGGGGGGGGTCGTACTCTCATGTTTTGCATGCCTTAGCGGTTAGACCATTGTCCAGCGTCGTCGAGAGGACCGAGCATTGTTGCCACAGGACCGATCACCGATGGCCAATCGTTCCGTGCTACTTTGCCAAAGGTGGCCCAAAAATGTCTTCCCTACTGATGTAGCCTATCTATCCTGTATCGGTTGGGGGCAGGGCGAAACACGGAGCCCCTTTGAGCGAGGGTTGCGGGTAGGTTGTAGGTCCTATGGTGGGGGGTATGTAGCCGGACAGGGCTACCTTCTGCGAAGCCAACTTGGGGTGACAGACGGGGGGGGGGGGGGGGAAGGGTGCGGCAGCTTGGAAGCTGCATGGTCTGCTGAAGGGTACCCTGCTCAAAGAGGCAGACCGCACGAATGAAATCCAGGTGGCACAAGCCAGGATGCTCCAGGAAGGCTAGGCTGGTTAAGGCAATTTTCAAGACCAGGCGGCACAAGCCAGGATCCTTCAGGTACAGGATACTCGCGAAACAGGCGGCTGCCCAAGCCATGATGCTCGAAAGTACAGGCGGCTTTTGGGTGAGACAAGTTACGACAGTTGCACGTAGAACCCAAGCTTGCAACAGACTGCTCCGCCTGTGCACGCGGGGGAGTAAAGCTCCCCAAGAGACGCTAGCTACCGTTTTTTAGGCGACGCAAGTCTCAAATATCACACACCAGACGGATGGATGGATATACCTGCAGCAGGGTGGTGCTAGGTTGGCATGACAGGACAGGGGACGTCATGAAGTCTTCTGCCACCAGCTCCGGCTCCAGGATCTGGGCGCGAGAATAGCAAACAGACAGACAGGCAGAGAGAGAGAGTCAGACAGACAGACAGACAGACAGACAGACAGACAAAAGACAGCAAGCAACGCAAGGCAGAAAGCAATAATTAAAAAGAAGCGCACCGGTCTTTCCGAAGCTCTCATGTTGCTATCCAGCGCGTGGGCCTAGACCATACTTTCTTCTCGGCATCTCTGTCTCTCCCTCTCTCTCCGTCTCTGTCTCTGTCTCTCTGTCTCTGTCTCTCTCTCTCGCTCTCTCTCTCTTTCTCTTCTCTCTCTGTCTCTGGCTGCTCACCTGCTCCTTGCAGATTGCCTCCACAAGGCTGCTCATGAGCTCGAGAGCCTCAGTCTCTGGGTCCTCCCCACTCAATCGGACGGACGCGGCCGCTGCTTTGGGATGCCCCCCGGCGCCAAACCTGCATCAACGTCGACATCGTCGTCGTCGTTAGTCTACGTTTTCCATGGTTGTTGCACAGAAACACAGTGAACGCATTCTCAAGCTAATTGCGCGGTGGAATTCATCAGTTTGTTGCTCGACTTGAAGCTCGTCACTCCGAACTTTTTACAACAGAAATAAAAGGGGGG